AAGCGCATAGTAGGCAGCCGGCCGTCACCATCCACTTTGACCGATGAACTTCGCTCAGCCTCGTGACACTCGAAAATGAGCATGAAAATAAGCGGAAATGCTGTTTTTGTGAACACCGCATTGGATTATGTGTAAGGTGGTTTCCAATAGATTTCCATGCGAAAAACGACAAGGTGGGTGTTGTATAAACCATTGATTGACAGGGTGACTAAAAAAATGCGTTGTTTTCGGTAGACGGCACTATTTCCGTCTTTGAAGTACCTACAGCCTTGGCTAAATTGAATAGCATACTTGGTGGAACACTGGAACTCAATCAGTTTTCTCTTCCTTCCGTGGCATACGAGGGAACCCGAGAGGTGTGGAAGTGTCCCTTTCCAGGTTTCCGGGTTATTCACCGGAGACCTGGAAAGGGACACTTACTGGACTTGGCTTTCGGCTCACAGGAGTGACCTGAAGAGGCTGTTCCGTCTTGACCTTTGATCCTTGAACATTTCCTTATCTTTGCTAGCTATCCGCGGAAAATATTACAAATACTGTGCAGAGCAGCATATCGAAGTTGGTTTGTGGCTACCTTTTATCCAAACGGTTCACAATACTTCCAATTTGAGAGCAAGTCAGACGCCCTATTCTTTGCAGGTCGTGATCCCTGCAGGCGTGGCTTAGAGCGCAGCCAAATCAGGTTCCCCACCAGTTGCAGGCGGGCTCAAGGTGCTATCACTGATGGAAAAAGGCGCCCTGGCTGCGCTCCCATACGCGTCGCGTTACACGCCCTATCACTTGCAGGGATCACGACTGCATGCTGTGACTTGGCCACTATATCGATTAATATGAGCTGCGAATAACGAATTAATCGGGATTACTAATAGTTTAATTTTTTTAAAAGACTTCATCTCTTTCAAACTATGAAGTTGAGGGATCATTCTTTTTGTAATAGTCATTAACAATCTTCCAGGTATTTGAGCATCGGTATCCTGAAAAAACTTGGGCCGAGCCAGCGGACTTTTCTTCACTTTTGAGCAACCGTCTAGATTCGATTTTCATTCTCCTACCCAGGACTAGAGCTGATGGGAACAGTTACCAGCACATTGCCAAACTTCTTATCCAGGTGAACTCCACCTTCCAGATA